GATGATCTGATTGTTCTTTTCTGATTGCAAATTGTTCACATGTTCGGTTTAGAGTCTGGTTCTCCCATTGGCAAACGTTTAGGTGATGGACCTGTTTTCTGTGAATGCAGCTTGTCCTCTGTTGGCCAGTAAAGCTGCCGGGCCAGTTGATTCAAAAACATGCATGCGTGTCAATGTAACTGTTACTCTGGTACAAGTCAGTTTTGATCAAAGTTACATGGAGCTACAGTACTTCAGAGGAGATAAAGACCCAAAAGTGGCCCCAGAGCCTTTGTTTGCAGACTTTTAGTTTATGTCTGTGAGATTATCTTTGCAGAAAGCATCTGAAAATCATTGTGACTATTAATGGATGGAGCCTGTTCAGGTTTTATTATTTTATTGTAAACCTTTCATTGAGTCCCACTGTGTTACAGAGTTGTTGTCTAACCTCTCTGTGTTTTAGACCCTCAACCCCAAATGGAACGAAGAATTCTTCTTCAGGGTGAGTTCAGATCGTTTTGATTTTCCTTTTTCCTTCCATAGATGATGACATTCTTAATCTTTGGTTGTAGTTGAGTTAATCCCCTTCAACAACACGAAACTGAACATTTTGTCACATCTATGTTAAGAAAAATGTTCTAACCTGCACGTTTTTGGCCCTGTCCACACGTAGCCGGGGATCTGCCAAAACGTAGATATTTTTCTACGTTTGGGCCTGTCATCCACACGAAAACGGAGTTTTTTCACACGAAAACGGATCTTTTTAAAAACTCCGGCCAAAGTGAAGATCTGCGTTTTCTCCGTTTTGGGGGTCTGCGTGTGGACAGACAAAACCGGAGTTTTAAGGTCCGCAACGTCACTTTCCGCGACAATAAAATGCTGACATCACGTGTGCGACCTGTGTTTACACTAGCCGACAGCATGGATGCCCTCAGAGCTGCGCTCGCTTTATCAACTGTCCAAGCGCTTTTTGCTTGTTTGTTTCTGCAAGCGGAATTACTGCTCCTTGTGGAAGACCACAGACGAAGGACGAGGTTAAGAACGGGGGAAGTACTGCCGCCTACAGGTCTGGCATGTCCTTAACAACGTATTTATCCGGGTACGTGTGGACAGAGTTTTTTTTTAAACGAGGTGGTGTGGATGCAAGTTTTTGGAGGGGCGGATATTCATTTTTAAAAAAACCCGGCTACGTGTGGACTAGGCCTAAGCTTCTGAAGCATGTTTAGTACATGTACATCAGAACCCGATCCCTCCAGCGTCATCTCAACTTGTTTTCTTCTCCACAACACAGGTGTGTCCCCAGAACCACAGGCTGCTCTTTGAGGTGTTTGATGAAAACAGATTGGTAAGAATCACTCTACATACATGTATTTTTCTCTTTTTTCAGATGTAGTCATTGCATTAATTGATTATTGTAATTATTATTTTTGCAAATTTTTCTGATGATTACCATTTGATCACTACTTTCCTTTTCATCTCAGATATTCTTATATTGTGCGACTAAGTTAATTCAAATTGTTCTGACTTAATTTCTCCACAGGAGTGATTAATCATAAGTTTAAAGATCTACTTTCCTGCATCTTTGTGTGTTCTGCTGGTTTCAAGGCTCAGCTATAACAGCTCCTGTTCTCCTTTAATGTCAGATTACTCAGATTTCCTTCCCAGGCGAGAAAACAAAATTTCTCAACTCGTGAAAATATTCATGTTCTGTCGCCATGAGAACTAAAATAAATGTCAAGCGTGACTGCAATTAACGTCACAAATAGGTCTTGACAATAGATTTGTCAATTCACACCAATGTGTAAACGTCACCATGGTGGGATGTCAGATCATGACAGATGGGGATGTGGTTGTTGCTCTGTGGTATAAATGAGGAGTTTTATGTCATGTTTGTGGAGATCTACGTTCTGGACTAGATAAGACACATAACCTGTTTTTTTGGTCCAGAAATGAAAATGGTAGGTAGTTTCCAAATAGCATAACTAGGTATAATAAAAAATATTTTAATGACTCAATCTGGTTTACAAAGTTATTCACTAATTTTTTCCAAAAGTTTACTGTGGTCTCTTGTATAAATGATGGCATGATGCTCTGGTGCTCCTGTTTCGTGGGGTTAAGGTTGGTGGAGACATGAAGGGATGGAAAATGACTGGCTTTAGAGTGTCATCATTAATGTTAATGATATACAAATGTGACACCTCTGCTTGGCTAACAGCAGCTGGACTCTTCCATTGCCTACGCTTGTGCTTCTCATTTGGGTGGAAAAAAATGCATCATCCATCTCGATAAATAAAACAAGCTTGAATGGATTCTCCCATGTTGTGGAGTTTAGTTTCTACATCTGCTCTAGCCTGGCAAGCCAGACTAAATAAATATATTATTTATATAAATAAATATTTTTTTAGTCAGGGAACGCTCCATTGATGGTTCTTGGTCGCGGGGTGGATTCTACCGTTGTTTTTCAAACTACTTTTGCATGCTATATGACAGAACAATGTGACATCTCACCGCATCGGGTGGTCAACGAAGCAGTCGCCATCTTGTTCCACTCCGTAGCATCATCCCGCCCACCAGACCAATAGAGCGCCTTGATTGGCCCACAAAGCCGATAGAGCGTTGTGATTGGCCTGCCATTGTGGACCAATCACAGTAGTCTATTGGTTTGAAACCCCGATAGAGAGCTGTGATTGGCCCGCCAGAAGGCTGCTAGGGGGGCGCGGAGGTTCCAGTGGAGCGTTGCTAGACAGTTTGGTCTAATTCACTAGGCCATATCTGCTCTGCTCTCTCCTGGATGCTAAATCAACACAGCCTTCCCTTGTCACAAGTTAAGGTGAGAGAGGCCAAGAATGCAAATTTCCCCCTGTGACATAGAGGAGCCTGGCCTTTTCTAACCTGGTCATTTTCCTGTCTATTTCCTTTCTGTGGCAAATGCAGACTGTAGGCGTTGAAGTGAATTTCACGTTCAGCATTCATACTCAGAGTAACCAGTTATAATAAAAAATAAGAGGAAAAGGTTTTACACGTTTTCTCAGTGAACGAGTCCTCGATGATACTTGCTTTACAACAGAACACAAACGCTGTAGAGACATCAACATTGCAGCTCTCCCCAGTACAGTGGGAGCTCTGTTGCTATCTGGAAGCGCATCACTGGCTGCCTCAAGCACAATTCACTCCTTATATGTCTCAGGAGGTGCCATTTGTCTGTGTGCATGCCAAAGCAACTCTTCCACAACTGGTCAGTATCTTTCTGAAGCCTCTTCCTTTTTTCGGATGAGATGAGATGTTTGACAAAGCTTCTTCTGTGGTGTGTATAACCAAGTCTTTTATTTCATGTTTGAACTTATAAACAATTATGTTGTAATACAGCGGCCGTCTTTTACTGCTTGTGCCTGTGAAATATGATGCACAGAAGACGTTTAAGTCATAGGTTGTACAATACAACACTATCTTGTTTGAGTCAGACATGTTCTGTCTTTTTGCAGACTGGGCTTTCTGCCATCAGACCACACATTGGCACTTTGTTTCTGTTATACAGAACATTCTCCATAACATTTCACTCACACATTTATTGACCGTGCCTAACACTGTAGGCAGTGTTCATCACCAAATTTAACAGCTTGCCAAGCCACAGTTTGTTGTACGACTGTCTTTCTTTTTCCTTCTTTACATTTGTTCCCCTGTTCAATATGATACACCTTCAGTGGATCGTTGCGGCTTGTTTTAAGGCCAAGATGAAGCACTGTGGGCTGTACCACAACCAGTCACAGAAGTTAAAACGTGGCCGCCACTTTTCACCCTTAAATGTCAAATTATGATACAGGCTTTGGCTGCTCTTTGCTCGCTCTCCCACTACTGCTGCCCTCAGGCAAAGTAAATGCTGATGAATCCTGTTGCGATCAAGCAGTGTAATCATAAAGTATTTTGGTTTGGAAAAATGTCTCTTTCTAGTGTACTTTCTACTCTTGCCAGATGATTTCATACAAGTTCTTAAGTATTACTTCAGTCCTTAATCCATTTGGTGTTGCCGACAGGGATCACAGCTGAATTTTATCACGGAAACAGAGTGACCTATAAAACAGCCATCCAGTTAAGTGTTTGGCAGTGATTTTGGAGGCAGTGTGTCTATTCTGTGTCGAGTAGATGCATCTTTCCCTGGAGACGACTGTGCTGTTTGCCCCTATCAAAGCTGCAATCTGTCAGATAGTCTGCTCTTTGCTCTGCTGGAGCCTTTAGTCGCGTCCATTTTTAGTAATAACTTCCCAAACAAATCCTTTTCAGGTCCATGGCTGCAGGAAGGCTGTAACTTACCATTTTTTCTTGTTGACTTTTTGATGTGTATTTGTCTAAAGGCCATTTAGTCTGTCCAATGGTTGGAAAACCATTTTTATCTTCTGTACCTCATTGAAAGAAGAGGCTATAGATTGTGTGTTTGTTTGTGGACATGTTTCTTTGCTTTTCTGACCCTCTCTCTATTTTCCTCCCGGTGATGACATCAGAGAGCATTGTTTAAGAAAAATGTTCAAATCTAGTAAAGATCTTCAGATACATGTAGGCAGAGTAACGAGAGACGTCAGAGATGAGAATGAAGGAAAGGGTGGACCGTAGTTAGCAAGAGATGACTCAGGGATGAGGGATTTGGTTGACACTTGAGGGCAACGTGGGGTTGTAACCAGAGGTGGTGGGGCCATTTTCAGTCACATGACTGACAGGCAACCCACTGTCACCTCGGTAACCAGGAGCAGGCAGGCTCTTATCCAGTCACGTCAGGAATGCTGGCTGTCACTCTACTAGGCTATTTCTGCTGTCTGTTGCTAGTACATGGTGTTACCAAGAGTATATTTTTTATAAACTTTTTCTTTTGTCTTGTCTTCACCTCCTCTTGAAGTATGTAGTGTTAAGTTGTCAGCCGGTTTACAGTTACTGTAAGGTTTCTGTGGTGTGACTTCTTTCTCTGTACGGTTTGATGTGGGAAGAAAAGTTGTGGAAAAGACTTGAAGAGGGTGGGAAGAGAAGGGGGAGAGAGGGGGGTGAGTGGTGGAAGAAAAACGGGAATCACTCATTGAGCCAGCCAAAGGAGAGGTGGGCGACACGAGGAGAGAAGAGAAACAGCAGCCAGTCTGAGAGAAAGTGAGAGTGAACGGGAGCTGAAGGGACGGGAGGCAAAAATGGCACAGCGTCTGCGTTTGTACTTTGGATCTGGCCGCAGCAACACAGCCCCGGAGATTCTGGAGACGGGCTCAGAGGAGCAGCGGGGAGAAGGTGAAGTGCTTGGAGAGCTTTGCGTGCACCCACCTCCATTAAGGCCTTCTCAGGAGTTGGCTGTGCAACACGGCCCGCCAATGATTTCTGGTTCGTGCTCGGAGCTTTCACTTAAACGCAGCTCCTCTATGTTCATACCCCAGCTCGCCGCCTACGCTGAGCCACGTCCCACCAAAAGCTCGTCCATGCACATTTCCCTCCAGCGCTCAAATGGATCAAGTAATCGGGAGCCTGGTGGCCATGCCGATGATGTCCCACCACCTTGTTATTCTCCAGGACCTGCACCTGCTTATATTGAACCTATAGTGAACTTTCCACAGCAGTCGCCGCCTCCATACTACAGCTCAGATTCCATTAACTCGCAATGTTGTCTGACAGAGCCAAACCTCCCGAAACACACAGTCTTCAGCATTGGTTCCAGCAGACGTAAGACACTCAGAGGAGGTCAACCAGGTATCACTGTTGGTGCCGTTTCTTTACGGAGCTATTCTACTGATAGTTCAGACATCCAGCGTTTTAGGATTCTTCCCTATGGTGGTGATGGCTGGTCTGTCCAGCAAAACAACCTGGACCCATGCTTTGGTGATAACGCAACACAAAGACTAGTTTTTCAGCTTCAAAAGAACCAGAACCATACCCAGAGAAGACGGCTATCTCCTTTATCCCAGGAGGAATGTACAGACTCTGGACGTGGCAGCCCAAGTGGTGTCCGTACGATGCATTATCCAAAAATAAGACTGCAGCGAAGCTCTTCCCATCAGAGGCTGTTATTGGAGAGTAAGCAGAAAAATGGCACAGACTTCCAGACTGTACAGGACAATCAAACCAGTCTGGAGCCGGATTCAAAAAAAGCCTCTAATTGTTGTACTTTTAAAATCACTGGGGAAGCCCCCAGAAGGCAGCAACATTTCAAGATCTACTTTACCCCTGGTGGAGATTCTGATAGTGACCTAACAACACACAACCCAAAGGTAATGATTGTGAGAAAGTTTTGTTAGACTCTGGCCCTTTTCGAAGAAGTAATGGTATAGTAAAGTTTTTTGCTGCGTATTTTGCTTTGTGGATACATGCAGAGAGATCTCTGGAGTACAAGAACAGTGCGGTCACATTCTGGGAAGTGAAAGCACAGACACAGTTGCTGTGCCAGATCACACTCACATTGGTTTTCTTTCACTTCTTCACCACAGGTATTTGACGCCTTATGCACATCATCCCAGTAATTTATGAAAGAATAACAGGAAAAGGCATGTGGATGAAAGGATAATTTGTCCCCCGACACTTGTTGGGTTCTGTGCCACAGAAATGTGACACCCAAGTTTTGATAATACGTCCCAACTGCAGTCAGAGGTCTTTAAGAGTTGGCCCTTTCTATCTTTAGTCTCTTTCAAATGTGGTTGTTGATTTTAAGAGTAGGCAGACGGCCGTTCTTGTGTTCTTGCCTGGTATGGATGCGTAAATTTTGCAGCTGCTGTGCAAGTGATTAAAACTAAGATGTAATTACAGCCTAAGCACAGATCAGGCTAGTTCACTTTTAATTTTGCCCCCCCCCTGTTATGTAAAACTCAATCTGTGGGGCAAAACTGTTCTAGAGCTTTAAGTTTATTCATTGTGTCATTTTAGCAGCCTCTTTTTTGTTTACAAACTGCTACTGTATGCATTTCACATATACTGCTTTTGTTATAAGAAACACAAAGAGATGTGTGATGCTAGAGCAACAAGGATATCCTCATTTAGACTATAAAGACAGGTCTTCCCCATCTAATCGCCCGGAGCTGGAGTTGCCCCCCCCTTAAATCCTGGGCATTGGATAACAATAGTGTGCACTTGTTTGCCTGTGTGTGCCAGACAGACTTGCTGCAGACAGCTACGCCAGAAAGCCATATGGTCATTACAGCCCTGCCTTGATGTCCCAAACAAAACCTTGATCTTACTGAAACAACAAAAGCCACGAAGGTTACGTTAGGTGGAGGCAGGGAGCGCACGGAGGGGTTGGGGGTTTGCTTTTATTTTTGTCCTGTGGCATGTGGCCGGGGTTCAGATCACTGTTGTTGTGAGGGGATTGTCCCTGTCGGCTCTGATCTGTCTGAGTGGAATGCCATTGTAATTCAGTTGTGTCAGCACAGAGACCGTTAAGTAGGTGGGTCAGGGTTTGACACCTCAATAACAAACTGGACATCTTCTCGCTTGGATCGTAATTGTTTTGTTAACGAAAAAGTTAAAAACCTTTATTCATTGCAAAGTAGAGGCCGACCGATATGTTCAAGTTTTTCTATATCTACCATCGGTCGCAAAAGTTTTTAAAAGCCAATTTAAAAATAGGCAGCACGTCCTCTGCTGCCCGCGGATAAACGAAGGAAGCGACACCACCAACGGCGTCAGCCGGATGATGCTTGCAGCTGCAAAAGAAACGTTGCAGGTAAATAAACCTTTTCCGTGTTTTAAAAAAAACTGAAAGATGGAATTTGAAACTCAACACAGCAAGAACACACCAAAGATATATGTATATATATGTATATGTGTATATATATATATATGTGTATATATATATATATATATATATATATATGTATATGTGTATATATATGTATATGTGTATGTATACGTATATATGTATACGTATATATGTATGTATATGTATATATGTATGTATATGTACATGTATGTATGTATGTATGTATGTATATGTATATGTGTATATATGATAATCAGCTTTAGATATTGGCCATGGGCATGAAAATTCTTTAAAAATCACTATCGGCCTTTAAAAAAACCATATCGGTCGGCCTCTATTACAAAGCTGCTGTTTTAAGACTTGGTTTATTGTGATTTCATTTCTCTAAAGACCTACACCAGTTAGCCATTACAATATTAATTTATCCAGTTGTTCAGCAAAAGAGAGGGACATCTGAGGGTTCCCTGGATTCTTTCCTACCAGCACATCAGCAATAATGTCTTTCAGGGTTATGTATTAGGTGTCTCTTTGAATTGGGTATAGTTAATCAAAGGGTTATTTGTTTGAGCCCCGCAGTTGTGTCCTTGGGCAACACACTGAACCCAGCTTGCCTGCTGGTGATGGTCGGAGGGACTGGTGGTGTAGGAGCTTGGCAGCCTCGCCTCTGGGCAGCTGTGGCCACATTGTTGCTCATCTCCACCAGTGTGTGAATGTGTGTATGACCTTTTAGTTGTAAAGTACCTTGGGGGGTTGTATTTCAAATCTAGGCCATTTACCATTTCACATGAAAACTGTATTAGATTGGTAATGGTGGAGTTTGGCGGTCAAATGGAAACCCCAGACACTTAAGGGTTGTTTGAGTAATGGGCAGAGCAGCTTTTGTCGACCCACTGTGCCCTTTTGGTTGACAGTTGCCAAACCTTACATCACAGGTAAGGTAAGGTTAAGCACCTCGTGATTTTTATCTTGAGAGGCGCTATAGAAATGGGGCAGAACATTACGTTGTACCAAAATTAAGCCTTGTTTTTCACTTTAGTGGTGCGATCACTGAATGTTAAAAACAAAAATAACCTATTTGAAACGGCAATGTTTGTGAAACTAGTGATCCAGGTAAAGTGACCTGTTGGTGATTTATGTTCTTTCTTTGAGATGGCTGTCGAATTCTGTCGTTTACTTATGTCAAGCATCTTTGTCCCTCCCCCTTCTCTTAGTTGTTCCTAGCTTACCCCCACTCTGAGAAAAACCTGTTCCTGGAAGGCAGCTGTAGCCTCAGAAGTGACCCCTTCTTGACTGTAATGTTATCCCTCTGCACACAAATAACCAATGTTTAAAATGGGTGTTGTGGTTAAGGAAGTGGAAAAAGACAGGCCTGTCTGCAAAGACAATTTGTGCCCCAGATGTCTCTGTCATTGCTAAATCTTTGTTCAGAAGTTAAATACAACAGGATCAGAGTTGATGTGTTGTGTGACAGCACGATATTAATGTTTCCAGGTGAAGAGGGTGTGCTTGGGGTCATGTGCAAAACTCTTTGAGTTACTAGACTTTATTTCATTTTCAGTTTCTCTCACATATTTAGTGATGAGATTAACGACTTTTAAAACAAAATTTTTTAAGTAACGTAATTAATTACTTTCTTTCGTCATAACACAGTTTCTGTTATTGATATGAAAAGTTGTGCCTTACTATATAGTTCAGCAGTGAGATGTGTTAAAGTTGTTATCATCTGATCGGGAGCTAAATGGACGGATGTTTACATCCAAGTGCATCACAGCCAGTGAGCAATGAGGAAGATGTGATCAATAGTATACAGCTGCAGGCCCGGAGATCCGGAGATGTGCTGCTGCAGGCATGGATCTGCGGGTCTACAGTCGTACCCTTCCTGACGAGACAACCTGGCTTCCCAGGAAGGTCCGCTCACCTGTTCACCGCTCAGTTATCAGATCATTAATTCCTTGACACAACCTCTAATCTTTCTAGATCTCCTCCAGTCAGCCAGCTGGAACCGGTTAGTGTTCCTGATCATTTCTTTATCTCTACTGTAACTGTATCAGTCTCAGATGTCTTGGGCGCTCAGGTGTTACTAGAACCTACTGGGTCTTTACCATCCAGCACTTCTGCGTTTGAGTCTGACCCAAGTTAGTAGATTTAAGTCCTCATCAGATTTTTGCCTGTTCTAGTGTCATTTTTGAGATCATTTTTATTCATAGATATGCTGTTACTAGATAATAACCGTTTTTATTAAACAATGTCTCCATTTTGCCACCACACCGCGGCGGCATCAGGGTTTTCTGTTTGCAGTTATACATTGTAGTTGTTTCATATCACACAATGGCATTTGAATAGTTTAGATTAGTGTCATGTTTCCTGTTTGTAGTTCCTTCTGTTAATTGCCCATTTATTTCAATAATTTAGTTTTATGACAAAAAATTGAACAAGCATGTTTTTGTGTTCAATTCTAGTTTGTCATTTATATTTTAGTAATTATAGTAAATGAAGGGAGTTCTACTAAGAGGTGATCCTATTTTTCTAGAATATTTTATGAAAAATTAACGCAAAATTGACTTTTACTGGTAATTAGTTACTTAAATAATCTTGTAACTCAGTCATGAACTCGGTTACTTTTTGACAATGTCATTACATTTTTAAAGTTACGTTCCAATTTTTATCTAGTAAAACTGTACACATATGTCACTGGATTACAGCTGATTTTTCACACCAAATTTTAGTCCAGTCCTTTTGCCTCTATTTCATTAGTTTTTGTCAACATTGACTTGTGAATAACTCGAGGGATAAACCACATGGCAGAATTGATGGCATGTAAATCAGTTTTGAACTGTATTTTGGGCACATTATGACTAGTAAACAGATGCAATTTGTTCTATGTTATTAAAATGATGAATATTGCTATATATCGAGGTTGATCTGTTAGAATATGGGATGTGAATGACAGCTGGTATTACATCAGATTGTAGTTTGGTGTCTATATTATGGTGCAGATTGGCTAAGGTTAGCCATGGTGGCCATCTTGAACTTGATCAACTTTTAAAGTTAATCAAATATAAATCCAGGAATTATTATCAGTAGGTTTTGCTAGACTGGTGGTTCATGAGGCATGTTGCAAACAACCACACAGAGACATGATCTTTATCACCTGCCTTTCACCTTTTAGTGGTGGATGACAGAAATGTCTAGAACACCTTACAAGCATTAAAGAGACAACGTGTAGTTTTTACCACCAGTCTCTGGAAATATCTATCGAAATGTTGTTGAAAATTTGTTAAATGATGCGCAGTGGTTGAAAATTATTGGTGGCCTCGTAACTTATAACCATAAAAATCAGGTCTAAAATACACGGGAGCGGGTCTAAGTCTCTGGGCGACCCCATGTTAGACCAAATGTTTCCTTCTACGGGAGCCCGTTGGACAAAATTCATTTACTGATTTGTAAAAAACGGTTACAAATTTTTAACTATTCATAAACGTTATCGTTTTCTACATTTACCTCTGTGCTCATTGCCAG